AGCCTCCTGAGTAGCTGGCACTACAGGCACGTGCCACCACGTCCGGCTAATTTTTGTATTTTTAGTAGAGACGGGGTTTCACCATGTTGGCCAGGATGGTCTCGATCTCCTGACCTCAAGTGATCCACCTGCCTCAGCCCCCCAAAGTGCTGGTATTACAGGTGTGAGCCACCACGCCTGTCCGATGTCTTGTTTTCTTTCCCTCCCCAAGGAAAGCTCCGTGGCTTCCTCCGTGTTGGAGACCTGGTGATTGTGGTGACAGGCTGGCGACCTGGCTCCGGCTACACCAACATCATGCGGGTGCTGAGCATATCCTGAGACGCCCCTCCCTCCTCTGGCCCAGCCTACCCCTGTATCCCATCCCTTCCTCCCCAGTCTACGTCCTCCAGCCCACATCCCTCCAAAGCCCCACCTTTAAGTCCTCTCTTCTCTATTCCTGAACCTCCCTACCTGAGGCCTATCTGAGACTGTATCTGCCATCTAGCCCCATTCGAGGTTGCCCCTTCCCCATCTCCATTTCACACAGGTCCTGAAAGTCTGTGTCCAATTATGCACTGGCCACCCGACAGCACCAACTGTACATTCCCTGCATCCAATCCACTCAGTAGGCCCTAAGATGCCTTGAGCCTTTAATCCCAGTTTGGCTGGTTAATTCCATAACCCCAGACATCTCATCCCTTGGGGTCGGGGAGAAGGGAGACAGGGCAATCTTGTTCACAGTCTCCCATTCTCATATGTGGCCCTCATGATAATCTGGGCATCTCGTGCCAGGGCAGGCTACCCTTTCATGGTGACTAACAGTGACATGATAGTCCACGATTTGGGGAAAACTGGGTGGGATGGATGCTGGGGAGAAGGGAGGGCTGGGCAGCTGATTTTGTCACTGTCTTCACAACCTCTGTGCTGGGCTTGTAGACCACTGTCCTGGCTGCTCTCATGCCCGCCTGATATCTTGCTTGGTCAAATCCCCGGCTGCTTCCTTCTGCACCCAGAAATTCCTTCCCACTCACTTTGTTCCCACACACAAACCAAGAGCCAAAAATGAGTGTGTCTATTTTATATTTAAACCCAGCTGTTTGGAAGCAATTATAAAACTTCTCCCACACACCAACAACCCCAGAACTCCCCACCCAGAAGGAAAGGAGACTTGGGGTCCTGGCCCCACAGTCTCTAATGCTGTAGAGTAGCAGAGGGGACAGACAGAGTGAGTGAGTGTGGTAAAGGACTACTCTTGTCCCTGAGAAGGCAGAGGTGCTGGCTGGCCTGCCCTTCCCCAGGCTTGGATACCTTGGACCTTTCCCTTACTCCTGCACCAACAGCAAACTCAGAAGGAAAAAAACAAAACAAAACTCTAAAGGTAAACACAGTCCTTCTCCCTCTCTCATGTGGCTCCTCCTGCCCCTACCTGGGAGAAGGTTCAAGTATTGTGCTGATGGGTTTGGGAAAGGACCACAGAGGCTGGCATGGAGAGGCCCTGCCTCCTCCTACTCCTCCTGTCTCCTTATCTGAAAAGGAGGGGAGGGATGGATAAAGGAATGGGTAAACAAAATGAATTGGTAACACATAAAATTAGTAAATGAATAAATACAATTAAATAAATGAATAAATAAATAAACAAGCAAAGAAAAAAATATCTCACAAGGATTCAGCCATTTGCCCCTCCACCAGCGGGGATCTAGGCTGGCATATTAATACGGAGGTGCCAACTACTCCTTAACTTTTAGGGGGGCATGACTGGGGCAGAGGGTACAGGGGAGAGGCACCTCCCGGTTTACAAAAAGACGGTCTACCACAGGACAGAGACTGCAGGGAACTTAGAAGTGTGTTCCCACTCAGGGGGTAGACACGGAGTGTCCACAGGTGGCAGTGAGTGGGTAAAGGTGGATACCCACACTCAGGACTCAAGACATCTGCTGGCAGTTATGGGGGCGCAGGTGATTGGCAGTGCCTGGCTATGCTACAGGAACAGGAAGATAACCAGGCCAGGCAGAACCTGCAGGATCATCGGCAGGGAAACAGAGACATCTAGCTACTTGGCAGTGATGGCGGTGGCAAGTACTTGTGCTTAGTAAAGGTGGGGTCATGGGCCTGGGCCTGCACCTGGCAGGACCATAGCCAGGGGAATATTCTTGTCAGAGGGTTTTGAGTCACTTCTACTTGGCAGTGGAGACATACAGCGCCTGGCATATTACCTTGAACATGGTAGCTGCTCAGTACACATGATGAATGGGTGAATGGATTATGATGGGACAAGCTACAGGATTCTTGAGCTGAGACCGTCTTCATGGCAGTATGGGGAATGTCCGCACAGGGTCGACATTTCCATGGGGCAATGTTTCAGGTCCCCACGGCCTTCCCTAAGAGGCATCTGCCCTAGGGTACATACTACTGCACCCCAAGAACTAAGGCTGGATGTACTCAAGGGTTTTACATGTTGGCAGAAAGCTGGAGACCCCGGGGGGTGGCTGGCTCAGGCACTG